CACATGCCTTTTACCTCATTCTTGGGAGGCAAAGGAAGGTGGATCTCTGAGTTTGAAGCCAACTTGGTCTACAAAGTAGGTTCCAGGACAGCCAGAGCTACAAGTGAGACCCTACCTTAAAAAAAATATTAATGGTAAATAATTGTCTAAATGATGTCTCATATGGAGTTAAACCTATTGTCTAGTGAGTGTGTTCCCTCAGACTGTTCCTCAGGGAAGAAACAGGACCAATCATCTTTATCTCTGGTTATACTTTCCTGTTGAGTGTTTAAAACCACGAGGGTGGCCAGAATTAACCATTTTTACTCTTTACTTTCAATCCCAGTTAAGGGTCTGGTCCTCATCAGCCACCTTGGCTGCCTGTATGTAAGGATAAGTCAAAGCCTTGTTTGACCATGGCTTTGCTTGAAAGCATGAAGGAAAATTTTCTTCTGGGCTGACCTTTTTCTTTGCAGATTGGATACTAGTGAGAGCTCACTGCTGGGGTCTCCACAGCCTCCCTGAACAAGGGAACAGGTGCCTCCCGTGATAAGAATTGTGACTTTTTCTCAGTAAAGATATTTCCACTGTGATATCTTAATATCATTTTAATAAAGCACAACCAATAGGAAATTTTCCCAGATGCCTAAACTAAAAACTAAGATTGATAAACCAGTTTCTCAGATCCTGCAAAAAGAGTGGGAGAAAACTCGAAATTGCATAGTGTTAAAAAATCTATCTTTCGTTGCATTGTCTCTTTTACTCTTTATTGATCTTTTGTTTATAATTCCATCTTCATGACATCTACTTTTGCTGATTAACATTATGCTGCTAGTGTCAAAGTTATTTCATTGTAGGTAGGCAGTCTATTTTCCATCTCTGAACTTGATATTTTACAGTTTTACCAAGAATAGTGCCTATTATGTGTTGCTAGCTGATTAACCACTGCTGTCTTCAAAAGCTCACCCTTTTGCAGTTACTTTCAGCGCGATTCTGCAGCTGCAAGCCCCTTCAGTCCTCAGCCCTTGTTTAGATTAAATACTCTTGGATGATAATTTACCTAGGCCTAGACTAACATCTCCAAGTTATATGTGTGTGGGAAAGCAACAAGAAAAATGCAAGGCCATTGTGCTAGGGCTTTGTCCATATTATTAGTGTTTTCAGACAATCAAGTTTTCTTTTGCTGTCTTTGTTTTCTGCACTATTCTCACATTTGCCTTGATTATTTTCTTCCTTCTTTGGTTTTTATTTCAGGTGTGTGTGTTCTTGCCATTTATATTTCCTTCATGTTATTAAACTGCATACTTAAGTTGTGGATAGGTAAACCTAAAAATAAGAATTAGCAAAAAAAAAAAAAAAAAAAAAAGAAAAAGATAACTTGGAAAGACCTGTAAGAAATGGATTCCTCGTTAAAAACACGATTTTTATTTGTTTTGCTCAGGACGTGGTGTACTTCTTCAGTTTGAAGACTCATGTCTTTCTCCAATTCTGGACACTTCTCAGTCATTCTCCCTTTGAACACTACCCCTCTCTCAATCTTTTAGTCTCTCTCCTGGGATCCTGGTGGAGGTATGTTGGACTTATTCTATCATCGGTCTTGCTGAATCAGTTCTTTTGTCACCGGAGGCCACATTCTGGGGGACTCTTCAGTTTTTTCTAACTTTCTCCTCTGCTACGACTGAACTGCCCACGTAACTCATCTTTGCCATTCTCCTTGTGCACGCCCCCCTTTTCATTCACCCAGCTGCGTTTTCCTCAGAGGGTTGCTTGTGCCGAACACCATCCATCCTTTCGTTGTAGTGTCTGTTCTTATGTTTCTTTGTTTTAACAGACTTTTGTGAGTCAGTCTTTAGGTTACTGTTGCTTCTAATTTTGTGTTTGCACTTATCAGTGACTTCTTTGGGGGTTCTGCTGGCTTTCTTCCATAATTCACATTTTTTTTTTCGGTTTGTACTTCTTGTTATGTAAACTTTATCTTGATGTTTTAAAAGATTGACCTTGCATGAATCCTGTGGTAAAGAAAGCATCCTTGCCAAGAGGAGTCTTTGCCTTTGTTTCTCTTGAGATCTCCATAACTCATGGTCTAGGCCCTATGTAAATTCTCTGTAGTACCTGAATGGTACCTGTATACTAGGATCCGATGGTGTAGGCTTTGGGGCCTGATGTTTTCCAGGACACAGTGAGATGAAAAGTGTGACTGGAATGGCAGGCACTAAGACCTGTTGCAGCCCTCTGTAAGGAAGCTGCTGACTTTCTGGACCATGAGCTTTATGAAGGAGCTTATGTCCAGCTCCCTTTACACATAAGGTCAAGGTTAAGTTTCCTGACTCAGAGGAGCCGCGGTTTTGAGGTTAGTTCAGGCTAAACTATTATAGTCCGTGGCATCTACTCTCACCTCTTATCCTGGGTTTGGCTTCCCCTTTTGTTCTGTACCCCCAAGATTTCTCCTTCCTTTCTTAAAGTTTAAGGGTTTGTTCAGCTATTTCTCTTGTTTTAAGTGTGTCTCCCAGGGTTTGAATATATGTAGGGGAGAGTAGCCTTGGAGCACCTGCCCTGTTCCTGAGTGTTCTGCTCTGTTCACTGGCTCGATTTTGTGTTTAGAAATCCAGAATGTAGGTTGTCATGTTTCTTTGATTCTCTTTAAACACCTGGGAGTCAGGGTGCTGGCAGATCAGCTCTGAGGCAATGGACATAGACGCTGATGGACAAGACACCACTTACAGGCTGTACTACCCTCCAACTGTACAATTCTGAACACGCTCCTGAATCTCATTCATCAGCAAACACAGCTTAAAAACAATTTACAAAGAGAGTTGTTACGAATAGCAAATGAGCGGGCAAACTCAGAACATGTTGTAACATTTAAGGCTTTTACAAAAACTTGGGCATACGTCGATAAAATATATAAACACATATACGATATACATGTCATATATAGACATACACATTTAATATATATTTTAAGATTTATGAATTTTTTTAATTTATGTGTATGTGTGTAAGTCTGCATGAACATATGTTCACCATGTGCGGGCAGGTACCCATGGAGGTTAGGAGAAGGTGTTGGAACTGGAGTTAGAAGGTGGTTGTAAGCCACTCAGTGTGGGTGCTGGGATCGGAACTCAGGTCCTACATAAGAGCAGTATGCACTCTTAACCACTGAACCATTGCTCTAGACCCTTTGTATACATTCTTACCTCAACCTAAGGTTTTAGTTGTATGCTATTTTGAGGCTGAAAATTGAGGGAACTAGGAGGATTTTGGAGACCAGGCCAAGGATGGGGCTCACAGGGAGAACTCTGGGCCAGGAATCAGCACACCATCCTAGTGGGTGTCTGCCAGTGAGGGGGGGTGGCCTTGAGTAGGTTTCTTGCTTTCTAGCTGCTCTTGCCGCACTGACTAGAAAGGCTCTCTTACTTCCCAATCACCAACTCCAACTTTTTTTTAACCTGCTTTTTTTTTTTTTAATCTGTAAGAGGGCATAAGAATAGTCCCTGCGTAAAGAACAACCATACAGATTAAATAGCAGTGTGGTAACACCCTTCAAACATATGATTTTTTGCTATGAAGTTTTGGGTTTTTGGCTTGGTACTGTACCTGATAATGTTGCAGTTTTGTTTGTTTGTTTGATTTTGCTGTGTTTTGTTTTGTTTGGAAGGAATGATGTTCTTGGACTTTGGGGTTCAGTGGGCAGCTGCTAGGATTTCTAGGTTCAGAGTAAGGAACTGAAGAGACACATGCAGTGGAGAGCAAGCAGTAGAAGGAGAAAGACACGCTTTCAAAGCTGGAAGAGGGCCAGAGTGGGGAGGAAATTTTAGAAGCCGGAAGGGTCCTGTGATGCAACAAATGGGACTTTTACATCCGATATTATGTATTTTGGGGAGTCATTTGAGCAGGGTAGGCTTTTTGGTGTATACTGTCTGTGAACACGAAGTTTATAATGAACAGGTTGGTCACCTTAAGATGCTCTGGAGTGCCTCTGCACCTTCAACAGTGGCTCCAGCCAGTTCTAGGTGGCTTTGGCTGAGGGTTTGGGGTATGAGGTGTGTGGCATGTGGGTGAGAGTGCCTGGCCTTCCTCATTGCCAGTTTTTCTCTTGTATTAGTTTTTCCACCCTTGCCAAAGGCTTTCCTGGCCTTGCTCTCTGCTGTAGTCCCCTGATTTAGTGCGCAAAGGAAGCTGGAATGTTATATATAGCTCACTATATAATACAGTCTGACCTTGAATCCAAGGCAATCTTCTTGACTGAGCCTCCCAAGGACTGCTGAGATTACAGGGGTAAGCTCTCCCACTGGCTTGAATGTGACTTTGCGGCATGGTCAGCTATACACTGGATGGAATGCTTGGTCAGCCATTTGTAGTTTTCCAAATAACTCCTAACAAGCAAATGAGACCTTCCGGGTGGATAACATATAGGCTGCACTTAAGGAGCTCTTTTGTTTCTCCAGCCCCCGACCTTCCATCTACTACTCGCTTTCTGCCCCTTTGTAATTCCTTTCCTTTCTTAGTGTCACATAGTGCTGTTTTGTGTCTTGGAGTCAAACTATGACAACTACGGAAGATTCCTTCTGATCACAGGGAAGCTTTCTTTGCTGTTTTTCCAAGAATGTACCATTTGTCCCTAACTTCTTCTGGAAGTAAACTAAGGAGGAAAGGACTTTTATGGTTTCCTTAAAGCCTTACTATCGAGGTATTGATTCCTGTGGCTCCCATTACAAACAGACGCCATTAGGGGTGGAAAAACAGGCCTTTCTTTCTCTGGGGAGATGGAAGTTTAATAGAGGGACATTTCCACCTCCCCTTTGACCCATTCACCTCCATACCATTCCCCTTTTTTCTTCTTCACCTCCATACTGTTTCCCTTTCTTTTCCAGCAGTGAAGAAGAGACTGCAGCAGTGAGGAGCTGATGTCAAGCACAGACAAGCCTGCTTTTCTAAGCTTTACTACATCCTTGTATGGAGAGGAGAAGATGGGAGTTTAAGTTTAGCCCTGACCTGTGTCTGTTTTCTATCCCATGCAGGAGCAAGAACTCAGCCTTCTTCAGTGATGAGGAAAGATGTTCTCTCTGGTTCCCGGGAAACGACAGGAAGGCTGAGTGTTCCAGCTTCCTTTGCGCACTTGCTCATACTGACATCACCTCTGTCTACCGCTTGAGTGAGTCCTCCTCAGACCCCAGAGCAAGCCCAGGCTCCTAGAGACCATGAAAGAGTCCACAGTCAGAAATAGACTTCTGCATTCTATTCCTGTCTAGGAATTTGGGGCTGCAATCACTGTCCACTTGGTGGCCTGGTTCATACTTAGCAGATTTCCCTGTAGATTTTAGGTCTTTCTAGATTGTACATGTCATGTTATCTAGCAACCATGACACATGATCAAACCAACTTACCTTTATCATGGGTGGTCAGCTGTATTGGACCCAAGGAAAGGAAGAAACTTCCTGAGTCATGGCTAAAGGTCAAAGGGCTGACTAGGTACCAAATCACAAATCACATAGATAACTGGAAAGAGACCTCAGAGATAATATCTCCCCTTATTTTACAGATTAGGAAACTGAGGCCCAAGAGTGTTAGTACCTGACCCAGGGTAATTGCTACCCGGGGCAGCCTGTTTCATCACACCACCTCAGATACAAGATAACCCTGGTGGCTGGATGCATTAGTCTCAAGAGTGGATCTACCTTGTCTAGTGCAATGCTGAATGAATGAATGAATGAATGAACAAATGAATGATAATAATTTCCTTATGATGGGAAAGGCCCACTGCTTTGCAGGAGGAAGTATAATTACCCTCACTAATGTTGCTGAGGTGAGGTTCCCTTTATCCTACCTCTTCGGTGACAGTGGTATGACTACTTCTATAAGGCTGAATTAGGTGGTTGTTATTTCAGAGGGATAGCGAGAGGTTCTCCACGAGGGACTCTCAGGCCAGTTCCTAGGAAGAGAGGGAACTGGAGGCTTTCTTCATGTATAGGGAGCCTTTGAGGAATATAAACCTCAGGTATCAGTGCTCAGCCCTGGCAAAACATTCTCATTGCTGCAGATCTGTGAGGCTCAGGCAGGAGGCTGGAGCTGTGAGCCCCTCCTGGTATGGGGAGTGGAGCTATGAACATTAAGGAGTACTTGCCCTGGGTGGGGAGGAAAACAGCGGTTGGTGATAGATTTGCATCAAAGATATCTGTTTACTGTTGACCCGTTGATCACAAGATTAAAAAACAGGTTCCAGTAAGCATGTCACTTCTTGTTTAAAGGCCAGGAGTCAACTCTGCTGACTGTGGGTTGAGTAGACCCCAACTTCAAGGCAGTCAGTAGGGGAACCAGATTATTAGTAAATGCCAGCTGTCTTGGGCCGATGTCCTGAGAAAGGAGTAATTCTTCTGAGTCTGCTCTTGTCTTGTGATGAATATAACATGTTTATTAATGTCCTGGTCCCAGGAGAAATGGCCGCATTAAGATGGGCATATGTCCTTCAGCACTGGAGGGGTGAGAGTGTCCAAACAGTTTCTGAGGCAACCTCCTTAGCTCTTCCAGCTTTGGCAATGGCCTGTCATCCTTCCTAAGTTGCAGATTTGAGTATCCAAAGTTACAGTCTCAGAAGCTTTCCCCACAGGACAGTAGGAACAACTTGGCTTGATGTGAGGGGCTACTCACATCAGGAAAATGTGGAACCTTCCCTCTAGCAGTTGCTGTCGTAAAGACTGTGTGGCCCTGAGGGTTGTGTGGCCTTGGTCACCACAGGTCCATTATAAGGCTCTTAATCAAAAACATCGTTTCCTTGCCTGGACCCCATGCATCCATGCATCTTCTTGGTTCTTAACTAGTTTCTCCCTCCCTCCCCCCACTTTTGTGACATCAAGTGGTTGCATATAAGTCGCTTAGCCTTTATGTTTCCCAGCTCTTTGCCTTTTTTTCTCTTGGAAATATTGACATACTTATTAACATACCATCTTGTTTTCCTTTACCTTTAAATACTTCACCTGTGTGATCACATCAGTCCTGGGACTCGGGCCAACTCTTTTGCTTTGAACCACAAATCTGCATTTGCAGTTTCCACTCTCCTCCTAGACCTACTTCACTCTCCATCTAGAGGTGCGACTAACTCAAAGTCAAAATATCTAAAACCATATACTTTATCCTATCTCCCATCAAATTACTTGAGGGAACAAAACTAGGGGCTTTAGATGCTTTATTGTTCCTTGAAACTGCTCACTTAAGGTTCCAGTCTTGTCACTTTTTAAGGCACACAGAAACCCTGTCACATGGGTGGATGATGAGTGAATAGAGTAAAGAAGCAGGAAGGAAGAGGGAATTCAGGGAAGAAGTAGGAAGGAAGAGGGAATTCAGGAAGGAAGCAGGAAGGAAGCAGGGAGGAAGAGGGAATTCAGGAAGGAAGCAGGAAGGAAGCAGGAAGGAAGCAGGGAGGAAGAGGGAATTCAGGAAGGATGAGGGAATGCAGGAAGCAGGAACAATTCCCTGCAGCAAGGCATGTTAGAAGTGTCCTGTGCTTATAGCTCTCTCCAGATCTGTTATAAGGTAATGGAGGGATCTGGGTCTTGCACCTCTCCAGATTGCTTTAACAACCTCATGCTCACACCTCTTGTTTCCACATATTCTTCTCTGACTTGCATCTCACCTGAGACCCTGCTGTAAAGTGTGAGCTAAACAGGATGATAGAAACTCTGAAGCTGATGTTGAGGGGGTAAAGACTACCCATTCCTATTCTTACTTCAGCACAAAAGCTCCTCAGGGGTCATCCACATGGTGACATGATCTGACCTAATGCCAGGTCTGTCCTTCATCTCTACTTAGGTGAGTTTGACTCCATCCAGAATCTTCAGAATGATCTGAGCGGTGAGTAGTGACGATGCTGGGCCCAAACTCTTGTCCTCAGGTCAGCTCATCTATTCTCTTGCCGGGAGGGACTGTCCTACTTTGAGACACTCAGGGGTGCTCATCTCTGCCTGTCCTTACAGCATCTCAGCCTGAGGGCTTCCAGGAGGCCAGGTCTGGTAGGACCTGGGTGGAGCAGCAGACCATGGGTTCCAGACGGTCCAGCAGTTCTGTGGAGTCCAGCCTTGAGGAGGAGCTCCTCTCAGCCTCCTCAGACAGCTATCACCTTCCAGAGCCTGACGACCTTGATGACCCAGAACTGTTCCTGGACCTAAGCTCTAGCCTGGAAGAGGACGAGGTGGAGCACTTTGCCCCCATCTTGGCTTTTCTGGATCATGAAGGCTACACTGACCACTTTAAGAGCCTCTATGATTTCTCCTTCTCTTTTCTTACATCCTCCTTTTATAGTTTTACTGAGGAGGATGATCTAGTGGCCTACCTAGAGACTTCAAGAAAGTGGGCCAAGATGAGCCACATGACGTGGGCCCATGCCCGGCTTTGCTTCCTCCTAGGCCGACTGAGTATCAGGAAGATCAAACTTTCCCAGGCCAGGGTATACTTTGAGGAGGCCATTCGAGTCCTTGATGGGGCATTTAAGGACCTCTCCCTGGTGGCTGCTCTGTACATCAACTTGGCAGCCATCTACCTGAAGCAGAGGCTGAGACATAAAGGGCCAGCCTTGCTTGAAAAAGCAGGCAGTCTGCTGGCCTGTCTGCCGGACCGGGAGTTCAGTGCCAAGATTGAGCTTGATGTGGTGGCGTATGTGCTGCGTCAAGGGATTGTGATGGGGAGTGGCCCTCTGGAGGCCAGGTCCTGCTTCCTGGCCATTCGATTGCTCCTGAGCCTTGGCCGGCATGAGGAAGTTCTGCCATTTGCAGAGCGTCTGCAGCTCCTTTCTGGACACCCTCCCACTTTGGAGGCTACCGACACCATGTTGAGTTTTCTGTACGACAAGAAATATCTTCCACATCTTGCGGTAGCCTCTGTTCAGAAACACGGCCCCCAGAGTGGCCAGGGCATGTCTGTTTCCGTTTGGCAGGCCTGTTTGGTCCTCCAGAATGCCAGCAAGATCCTTGGCGTTCCTTCCTCAAGCCAGGGTGAAGTTTCTGCCCTGGCCTGCCCAACCCTCAGGCAAGCCCTGGATGCCTGCAAGGAGCAGACTGACCTGAATATCCAGAGGTCCTTGTGTCTACTCTTGTCCAAAATGTACCTCCACCACAGGTCCTCTGATGCCTCTGTCTACTACCTGAGCCAGGCCCAAAGTTTAGGGAAGCTACTGGGCGAACAGGAAGCCTTTGAATCTTCTCTCTGTCTGGCATGGGCTTATCTCTTAGCCAGGCAGACAAAGAAGGCTTTGGAGATCCTTGAACCACTGCTGTGTTCCTTAAGGGAGACGGAGTGTGTGACCCAAAAAGGAGTGCTCCATAACCTCCTGGGACTTGCATTTCAGGATGAAGGCCGGACAGGCAAGGCAGCCAAGAGTTACCTCCGAGCCTTGGTCAGAGCTCGGGAGATGGGAAACGTGCGCAACCAAGCCGTGTCTATGGCCAACCTTGGCCACTTGACCCTCAAGTCCTGCATGCAGCAGTCAGCAAGGGGTTATCTCTTGGAGGCTGTCCGGCTCTATTCCGAACTCCCAGCCAGCAAGGAGACAGACATGGAGTTGGTACAAGTGTTACTCTGGTTGGGCCAAGCTCTGGTGTCAGGACGCCAGCTGGTCCACAGCCGCCTTTGTTATGAAATGGCATTGCTGTTTGGCCTACGGCACCGGCACCTGAACAGTGAGTATGTCCCATACTGCTGTGAGCATTAGAGAAAAGTGTTGACACATGATTTGGTGGTATCTCACTCATGTTCCTGCTTTATGTTCAGGTCAACTTCAGGTCACCAAATCCCTCTGCCATTTCTACAGCTCTGTGTCCCCAAACCCCGATGCATGCATTACCTATCACGAACACTGGCTGGCCCTGGCTCAGCAACTCAGGGACCGGGAAATGGAGGGGCAATTACTGGAGTCCCTTGGGCAGCTTTATAGGAACCTAAATACATCCAGGTGAGTCCCTGTTTTAGGTAGAAACGGTGTTCTCTCAAGAAGGCAAGTCCATATGCACATGGCCAATGGATACTATGTTGGAAAACTGCAGGCCCTGTAACTGCTGTGCAGCTCTGCCCATCTGTTGGCAGTTCTTTGGCCTTGGACAGTTTAAACCTGTGTTTCCTCATTGGTCAGATAATGAGGTTGATAACGACATTTATCTTACAGTACCAGTGTGAGAGATGAATGCGTTAAAGTCCCTGAAATACAGATAGTCTCTGTAACAATCACTATGTCACTCTTACTTGTGTGTTTCCAAAGCAATCTATCCTGACTGGCTGAGAGTGCATAACCCAAAGTGGGCAGCTTGTATTGAGGGCCATGGCCCCTTCAGGAGGTCTTCTCCATTGAAAGACAGTTAGGATTCAAGAAAGGACAAAAAGTAAATAAATGCCGTGAAGCAGGAGTATAAAATTTTATGTTTAAAAAAAAATGCTTGATTGGGACCTCATCTTTAAAATGAAACTGGATTTAGTCAAGTCTACTTTCAGCTGTGATCAAGCCTCAGAATAAATAAATACATGGGAATGGAAAGGGTAGACTTAGCACTTGGTTGTCTGGCAAAACTGTATAATAGCACTTTCTTCTGTGATTGACTTTTTGATGCTTGTCTAAATTAAGCTTTTTATTTCTGTGAAGAGACACCATGGCCATGGCAACTCTTATAAAGAAAAACATTTAAATGGGGCTGGCTTAGATAGAATTTAGAGGTTTAGTCCATTATTGTCATGGAGGGAAGCACGGTGGCATGCAGGCAGACACGGTGCTGGAGAGGCAGCTGAGAGTTCTACATCTGGATCTGTAGGCAGCAGGAAGAGAATGAGACACACTAGGCCTGGCTTGGCCTTCTGAAACCTCAAAGCCTGCCCCCAGTGACACATTTCCTTTAATACCATCATGTCTACTCCAACAAGGCCATATCTCTCAATAGTGCCAGTCACTGTGAGCCTATGGGGCCATTTTCATTCAGACTATGATAGCGCTTGCTGAAAAACTTTCAGTTTTGCAAAAGTATATCCCAAAAATATCCAAGCATCCTTTAGAACACTGATACTCAAAGTCTCCTCACCCATGCACTTCGCCTCATGCACCAGTTCTTTGTTTTCACCAGTCCAAGGCCACTGGGATTCTCCTTTACTGATGGGCAGCCTTCAGTTCTATCCCTAACAAGCTTCATAAATCTCACAGAGGTTTTAAAACCTCTCGTCTCACTTTGCAACAGATTTGTGTCATATGTTACAACCATAGTTCTTAGTGGCTTCTAAAACAGAATGGGAGTGCTTGCTAGTGTTGATCAGAGAGGCAGTGGAGGAGAGGCTAGTTCAAGGCTAGCTTTTGCTTTTTAGACACTACCCTTGTTAGGGTTTCTAGTGCTGAGAGGAAATATGGGGAGGAAAAAGCTTATTTGGCCTCTACATTGTAGTCTATCACTGAAGGATGTCAGGACAGGAAGTCAAACAAAGGGAACTTGGAGGCAGGAGCTGATGCACAGAGGTCATGGAGGGGTGCTGCTTACTGGCTTGCTTCTCATGGCTTCTTCAGTCTGCTTTCTTATAGAACCCAGGACCATCAGCTCAGGGATGTCACCACCCACAATGGGCAGGGCTCTCTCCCATCAATCACTAACTCAGAAAATACCTTACAGGCTTGCCTACAGCCTGATTTTATAGAGGCATTTTCTTTTTCTTTTTAAAAATTAATCACAGTTTATTCACTTTGTATCCCACCTGCAGCTCCCTCCTCCTCCCTACCAATCCCACCCACCCTACTTCTACCCCACCCATGTCCCTCCCCCAGTCCACTGATAGGGGAGGTCTTTCTTCCCTTTCTTCTGATCCCATACTGTTAGGTCTCATCAGGAGTGGCTGCATTGTCTTCTTCTGTGGCCTGGTAAGGCTGCACCCCCCCTGAGGGGAAGCTGATCAGAGAGCAGACCAGTCAGTTCATGTCAGAGACAGTCCCTGTCCCCATTACTATGGAACCCACTTGGACACCGAATGAGGCATTTTCTTAACTGAGGCTCCCTCCTCTCAGATGCCTCTAGTTTGTGTCAAGCTGACATAAGACTAGCCAGCACAGGTACCATGGTAACCGTGAGTATGTAGGCAATCAGACAATAGTTAATCACACTGTGAACTCTCTTTCTCTATGTATTTCTCCCCACTCACTGTATTTCGTTCTGTTTCCCTTTCTCTTAGAAAAATCAGACATCTTCTAAGCTCCCCATTGGCTTTGCCTTTGGTGCTAGGGAGAGAATTTTGACATAGACAGGGGCCATGGAGTCAGAGAACTAAGAGATTTGTTGTTGTTGTTGTTGTTTGGGGGGTGGGAGTGGTGTCTGAAACACTCCAAAGTACGGTCAGAGTTCTCGTAGGCAGACCTGGTACGAAGCACAGAACTAGGCACCTGCTATGTGCTTCTGTAGGCAGCTGAGTGGTGGCTGAGGTGGTCAGCCCTCGGGCTCACCACCCTAAAGTTGCCGCTGCGTGCTGCCCTCCATGTGGATGCTTAACAGTGACTAGGGCGCTCATTGCTAAAAGGAGCCGCTGGCTGGATCGCTCGGGGCTCAGGTAAGGAAAGAAGGGCTTGGAGTACGGAGGCTGGCTTTCTAGTGATTACTGACGAGATTGGTGGTCGGTGCTATCAATGGAAGGTCAGGCGCCATCCCAAATGTTCTTTTTGATCCTGGCCTGTGCAGTGTTAGGTGTCAAACAGCATTAGTATTAGGGAATACTCACAGATAAAGAACCAAGTGTTAAATACATGTATTAGGACAAAATGATCCATTCCCAAACAAGGAAGGCAGACCTTCCCCCTTAAAATTAGTTACTTACAGAAAAAAGAAGATTAAGCCAGCATTGAAGATTATGCATTGAAAACAAAGATGTCTTTGCAAGTTCCTATGCCCCAAGTTCTTCAGAAGTAACTATGTAAAATTTAAAAAAAGATCAATAAAGAGCCCATGTGTATGAAAGATTATATATCACATTCTCTACATTAAGTTCTCAGCATAGTAAATATAATACACATAGACCTCAGTTATATATGAAGGGTTAGGAAAATGTCTATGCAATGCAGTGTATTTTTTTGCTTGCATTTTTCATCTAAAAGTGTCACTATGAAGTGCTGAGCCAGCATTTTTGAGGCTAAAATTTTATTGAAAAAATTTATTCTATTTTATATTTTCATACTAATAATATTTTTATAATATTTAATATTTTGATCATGGTTTTTCTCCCCTAACTCCTTTCAAATTCTTTCCACCTCTCTACCTAACCAATTTTATGTTTTTTTCTCTCTTCAAAAACAATCCAACCCAATCCAAACCAAACCAAAACCCCCAAGAAACAAACAAACAAAAAACCCATCCACAATGAAAACAAAAATCGAAACAAATAAGCAAAAGACCAATAACCCAAAAAATGACAAAACAAAGCAATGTAAAACAAACAGTTCAAAACAAAACAAACAAACAAAAAACCCCATGAGTTTGTTTTGGGCTGGGCGACTGCTGGGACCTGCCCTGCAGCCTGGCTAACACACCAGTGCTTTTCAGCCACTGGAGAAGAGTGATTTTCACTTTACCAGTGGGTATTGTTGGCCTATAGTGGTGAGGAGTGGGGCTCCTGGTGCACTTCCCAGTCTCAGGGATGGAGTCTATGACACCATGCAAGCCTTTCCGATGTGTCAGCCACTGTGGTAAGGGCTAGGCAATCTCACTTAGGGAGAAAACATCCAAGTGACTGTCCCACATGGCCTCCACTGTGTGAGAGTGTTGCTCTAGAGTGATCACTCAGGAACTCTTGATAGCAGCGTCACTGCAGTTTAATCACATGCAGTACCTTTACAATTTAATTTACAACTAAATATGCGTTTCCGTTTTTAGTATTTTCACATAGCTGTGTTAAGTCTCCTTGCTATCAAACTGCCAGTCATCTTCAGGGTCTCCTCCTTCAAACCCCGAAATCACCATCAGCAAGGACTCCCCACTCTCCACACAGATCTAGGGATCTAGCACTGGAAACCACAAATCTCCTGTGCATCCCTGTTGACACTAGCTACAAGTGGGATCTGTTTTGTGGCTGGTTTCTCCCATGCCATGTGATGTTTTCAAGGCTCATCTATGCATGTATGTCAGTACTCCATTATTTTTAACTTTCCCCCCCACTTTTTATTTATTTTTTATTTTTTGTGACATTGTAAGTGTGGAGGTCAGTCCCTTCTCCTCAAGTGAGTCCTGGGGATTGAACTTAGGTTGTCAGGCTTGGCAGCAAGGGCCATCTTGCTGGCCTACCGTTTGTTACTTTTATTGCTGAAAAAATATTCTGTGGCTATGCGACATTTATATATCTGTATATATATATGTATATATTTACATATATATACACATATATACATATATATGTATATATATTTATTCCTTAGTTGATGGACATGTAGGTCATTTTTATTTTGTGGCTATGGTAAGTAATGGGTATTTGTGAAAATGGGGTTGTAGTTCTCTTGAGTGTGGACCTAGAAGTGGGATTACAGAATTACAAGGTGTTCGTAACTTTATGTTTAAATATTTGGGCAACTGCAAACTATTTTCCAAATAGGTTGCATCATTCGCTATCCCTATGAGTAACGTGTGATGACTCCACTGGCCCCGTGTCCTCACTATGTTTGCTATTGTGTGCATTTCATTTTAGCTATGCTAGTGAGGCCAAATGGGATGGAATCTCATTTTTTTCCATTGTGGGTTTAGTCTGCATTTCCTTAGTGACTACAGATGTTGAACATTGTTTCATAGGCTTTATATGTTCTTTTGGAGAAATGTTTGCACAAGTCATTTTGTCTATTTTATTTTATTTTATTTTATTAGTTTTTCGAGACAGGATTTTTCTGTGTAACCCCAGCTGTCCTGGAACTCCCTCTGTAGACCAGGCTGGCCTCCAACTCAGAGATCCACCTGCGCC